TGCTCAAATAGATGATAGGGAGTTCATGGTTAACAAACTATGGTCTGACATACATTTATGCATGGGGAAAGAACATCGGTTTGAATCATTTGTCGGGTTGTCCGTCCCCCAATGAAGTGAGTATTCACCCTCCAGAACAATCAAAATCCAAGGGCAGTAGAAAGAGACTCAAGAGCAAAAAGGAACAGACAGTTGAAAAATCAGTGAAGAAACGACGTATATGCAAGACATGTGGCGAGAGAGCAGGCCACAATGCACGGACATGTCCCCAAAAACAACAGTGGTACACAATATACCCTTTAAACAATGTCTCATACGGATGTCCTTACAATTTTTACTGTTGTATTTCGTCTTTTTTTTTTTCAAACTATTCCCAAACTCCGGCCTCAAAGCCGAAATCAAGGTAAAACCTCTATATTCTTATGTGCGAGTGAGCTGTTGTGGATCTTGCAATGTATTTGAACGCACGTTATGACAGTATTGATTTACAAGCATCTCGTATATTTACACTAATTATTGAATGTATTCACTTGCAGATACAACCAACCTGGGATCTAGCAGTTGCACATGGACAAGTTGCACATGGGCAGTTAGTTTATTTCGGTTACTATGTACATGAAAGATGCATTGGCCTTAAATTCATTGTCGATTTATTAATTCAGACAGACATCATTTCATTCGTCGTACATTGTTTTGTGCGACCCAAACTGTTATTGATTTAATGTTATGCATAGTAAAGGCGTGATATAATTTCGAATTGTGTGGATATCATCGCATTCGAATGGTGTTGTTTGCACATTCTTGTTGTTCACAATGCAGAACGAAAATATAATACACGTAACTCACGCTTGCACAATATATAACAACAATTGGCACATTAGTTAAATAGATATTGCACATTAAAAAATAAAGATAATAATAACGAAATAAAAGGTAATAATTAAGTAAAAAATAATGAACCGTAACCCTAACATCACTAAAATGCATAAATAAAACACACTGGTTCGATAAAAGATGACACTAGACGTACAAGGCGCACACCATACCATTATCGATAAATATTCATACTACAACACCATGAACCAAACATCTATTTTTTATTTGAGCGGGATGTATGAATGGTATCAATCCATTAAATGCAAACTCAATACCGACCTAATAACAAACATATTGCATACGCGTATCACAACGTCAACAATAATGCTCAAACAGTCACGTGACAGCACACAGTCACGCTTGCACGTTATACTGTGACCCGCTGCACAATCTTCAAGACTACATTGCACATTATATAAAATGTCAAAAAATATCCCAAAAAAATATACGAAATGCACTTATCCAACACCTGAAACTAAAGCGTGACTTTTTGCATACCATTTCGATACCCATACCGAAAATCCGTACATCAACAACGCCAAAACATCTAAAAATCTTGATACCATAATGTGTCAGACGGCTGGTTTTGTCATGTGTTCATCCACAACCAAAAAGATAAAATAAAAAACATCGTACGTCGCATATAGAAATGCCATATCCACAAGTCACCCAAACTCACAAAACGACACATTCCATAAATAACACGCTACTTATAAGAACACCGCAAAACGGACATCGAGCGTCGCACGTCAAGCAGCCTCACGCTCTTGCTTCTTTTTCACGTACAAGTGGTGAAATCGATTGGCTTCGTTGAGATTGGTGTCCTTCAGATTGTTATTCGAAGCACATGCTATTGTGAAGCAATACCGCTTTCTCATCAACTTTAGTTGCCCCTTGTCGGCCTTCTTTATATTAGGGCTCCAACTTTTCACCGCGGCCCCTTTGAACGTCTCCATATGCCGCATGGTGATCACTCCACTGTCTACAATATCGACGCCCTCCGTCCAGGTTGGATCAACAACTTCAGGCCTAGCCAGTGCAACTATCTTAGAAAACCTTTCCATATTGCTATGGCCTAGGTATTTTGAGAATGATGCTCTCTGCATAAGCGGAAGAAACATAACAAGTTGCTAATACATGTCATGAGAATTGCTCACAATAACACTGATTCGAAAACAGATCATTATACTTACAAGTAGATCCGCATTTGACATGACTTTTTTCTTAATCGATGAGTCTCTACAAAAACCGGCGCTGTCCAATACTGTGAACTTTTGTGCACCCGGTGCAAAACACAACAACCCAGAGAATGTCCCTGAATGTACAGGAAACAAAAACTACAACAGCCAGAACAACATGTAGTTAGAACCAAAAGCACATATGTATGTTAATAGTGAACTTAGATCGAACATGAAACAAGTAGTGAGTAGTGACAACCAACAGCGCGTATGTAAAAACCATATGACACTAAAAAAGCACTTGCACACACACATTAATACGAATGTCACAAATTACATTCAATATAAAATGTGAACTCTCACATTTACACAACACGTATTTAAACATATATCCTCTTATTTTAACATTGAGCACAACATGAACAAACAAATACGCAAAGATTTAACTTACCACTGATATTTGTTTCAGCTTGTAAATAGACATCCGCCCAATTTCCGACTCAAGACACCTTGAAAAGTTATTGAATACAACATCCTTCTTTTTCTTACTCTCGAAAAAAAGCTGCGAACATAAAAGGATATATAATCATTGTAGCCAATACTATACGCATATAGCATCATTTATATGCATGCTGCTATAATTCATAAAATGTTGCATAACATACCTCGTTGCACGGAGCTGTAGATGCAAAGAAACACGCTGGCGCACCACGACTCTTTAGCTTCTCATTATAATTGAGGATGAGCGCCCACAAGTCTAATATCGCCCTAGTAATCGCGGTATTCGACATCAAACACATAACATCTGCTCTCGACGCAGAGTATTCAATCGGCTCGTCCGACTGGAATATTATAATGGTGTCATGCCTTGATATACATGTGCGGAAAACAAAAAAAAAAAAAATCAATCAGTTCACTATAATTAATAATCGTTGTTAGTATTAATATGAGCAATGTTATTAATGCTGGTATATTAACAGGAAAAAAAAAACATCAGTCACAAAGTCACCAACACTAATAGAAGACTTACTCGCAAGACAAATGATTCTTCAAAACCCAATTAGTTACCATCTTCTCGTGTCCATCTAACTTCTTATTAACATTGTTCACTCTCTCCTTAAATGGTGACTTGATGATACTAGACGCCTTTGTTAGCCTCTTTGGCCTCATTTTTACATCAGTGACATCACCTCCTTACAATAAAAACTGCACATTATAAATACACTTTCAGTAAATTGGCATAAAATATATACAAGGCTATTAACTAAAATACACTCGTCACACATACCATGATTCGAGTGAACGCCTGTCACACGTCCATGCACTTCACGGTCGTCAGGATTATCGGACGCAACATCATCTACGTAGATGACGAATAAACTCGTCAGCATCAAACACGACGTACGTGCATTTCATAATAATATGCCACCACAGGTACGTACACAACAAACTCTAAACATAGAGTTACATACAATAATAATAATTAAAATATAAAAAAAGCATGCAAAATAATTGTTATACATACCCCGTACGACACCAGCACCAGCATCGTCCACAATGTTGTTCGTAACACAATAAGCTAGGACAAAATAGAAAACATCATGACGCAATCAAAGAACCCATATTGGAAACAGAAGATATAAAAAGAGAATCAATCGTATATAAAAAATTAAAAAAACAATAAAAACAAAAAAAAAACAAAAAAAAAAACATGACGTGATATACCTGTTGGTATATCTACCACAGTCGAGATGCCGACTGCATTTGTTGATTGATGGCATCGATCAACATTCTCCTCCTCATCTGAAGAAAGACCTAAGCTAAAGCTAGGTACATCTTCTAGTTGCATCTGCCTGAAATGATCCCGACATGCAACAACATCGATAATCGCATCTATTGCTGCTATCGTGTCTGGATTGTTCCAAAATGCATCATCCGTAATCTGTGTCACATTACACTTGAAGTCTTCAGTACTCACATCGTGTGAGGGTTTCAATTGTGTTGGAACTGCACCAGGGGATCCTGTTTGCACATTCGCAGGGTGACTGGAGTTATGGTGTCTAGACTTCAACTTTGATTCGTCATTAGAAACACCGAGAAGCTTTTGAGCTGCACATTGCATCTTCACGAAATTTTCGTCCTCAAATAGAACGCGTGGAGCATTCTCGACATGCCGTAGAATTTCAACACCGGTATTGGCAAGAATTTGGGTTTTAGCAGCAAACTCTTGCACAAATGTCTGAACACGACAAACATGCACGAATTATAAAGTTTATAACAATGCGATCTACAGTTAAACATTGTTACCCATATAGAATATTATAGATATAAAGCGGTAATCCTTAATAATATACAGATGAGTGATCAACGGTATACATACTTGAACACATTTTTCAGATGCACGTGTCGGGTCGTCCTTGGAGGATATTTTGCACGGCTTATCATAACGACGGGAACTGTCAAGAACACTCACATCCGCATCCACAAATCCTCTGCCAAATGCCCCAGAATCTAACTCAGCATGCTCTCTATCCCTTAGTAGTTCATTGCTCCATGCCCTAAATGTCGGGAACAATCTTAGAACGGTTCTGATCGACAACACTACTTTGTCCACATATAATAGCTGCATAACACAAACAACAAACTTAATTAGCATAATATGACCAGTATAAATAAATAAATAACCAATAAAAGCTTTCAAACAAACAAAAAAAGCATATTATAAGAACAACAAAAATAATTAATATAACGACTAACCGTCATAAATAGTAAAGGGCCCGTGTATTTCTTCGTCTTAGCGTTACCGCCCCATGTCTTTTTTGAGTTCACAAGGCAACTTATCATGTAGGAGCACCAGTTCATGTCGATGACCTTAGATAAATCTTCGAGTAGATGGACAATACGAAAATTCACCATCCCATTCTGACAGCTCTCAAATAGGCACGTAACCATCAAAACAATAAAATGCCGCTTGAACCAATCGCCACCATCGGAACATTCTTCAAGCTTCTCAAGCACCTTAGTTGCAGTGATATTGGATGGTCTCCGGACATTGAATAAACCAATCCATTCATTCAGAATGCTCGACTCGACTCTTTTTTGTTTATTCATTATGTGTATTGATCCACGAGGCAATCCTAACGCGGCATACACGTCATCCTCATTCACATGTATCTTTTCGCCACCATAAAGACTCAACTTACGGTCCAGGTGGTTGAAATTCTCAACTAGATAAAATCCCATTTTCGGCGGTAGTGACGTTATCTTCAAGTCCAACAAATGACCAAACCCCATCTCAAGCACCGCCTGTTTTTTCACATCAGATAGACCAGACACAGCCTTCACAAAGATGGCGGTTGTGGACCTGGTATTCGCGGACCGGAACGCATCTTCATCATCGCTACTAGAATTGTGATCGTCAAGCTCGTTGTCTGATTCATGATTACTAATATGTTCATGGGTAACCACCTCCTTTCCCTTTCTGAAACGATTATAAACTCAACTAATAATGTATCAAACTATTTGAACAAGCGTAGGTCGAAAAAAAATAAAAACTAAAACATACCTTTTTGAATGATTGCGTGTTCCACACAACGCGTACGAGGGATCTCATCAACGAAGTCGTCACTACTACCACGCTGGTTTGATGATGACCCAACCATCTTGGCGCGTTTCGCACGTGATGTACTACGGGTTGTTTCATCCACTGTTCTCTTATCTAGCACCAGTAAAAGCTTATTATATATGCCAGAATTTATGCACATGTGTACACCATGAATTGCATATTTTAATTCAAACAAATGCACATTGTAAACATAAAGAATAGACAACGCATACACACAACTCTTAAATAACAAACGACAGTAACAAAAAACACTTAAATATGTGTGATGTGCTACACACAAACGCATTAATTCTCACACACACACGATGCGTGCAATTAGTATTAAAGTCACAACTATTCACCTCTATGCCCGATGCCATCAATATGTGTTGCAGCTTTAGGTTGGTTTGAATTATCGACCAAACTACGTCGGGTTACTAAAAAAAATCAAAGTTACAAGACACAAATAACATAATAACTGTACAGATGACATGAATAACAGTAAATATACCAAATTACAATGCTACAAACAGCTATTATATAACTAACTACATAAAACAATACGAGAACACCTCTATGCGGGACCGACGGTTGAACAGCTGCGTCTGTATGCTTCAGACCACTATCTGCATTATGTTAAGGAACACTCTAATATCTACGCAAAATTGTAACAACCAAACAACATAAAAAATTATCTTGTCGGTGAATGACAAATTAATGAACAGACTGCCATAATTACTGGGTGCTTGAGTTTGATCATTGACACCTTGGGCTTCGACTACAGACCCTTTTTTTTTGCGTGCAGCTCCTACGAAACATATGCATAAGGTCCACATTATATGTATATAATATGAAGGCCATATAGTAACAACAAATTTTCAACTACACTATAACCCCTAGAGAAACCGAACAAACCCTAGGCTTCAATCGAGATGCAAATTCGCAAATACACTGATGTGAACCTCAAAAGCGGACAGTACTTGGATGTTTCGATTGAGGCGAGTTTCCCATTGTAGATTTATATGCACGACTAGCCCCTGAACACTGATATGAACTCCGATACGATCGATCGCTAAATACCGCATGTACTGTGAAAGAGATTTTCAAGCCCTATACTGAAATCGAGCGAAAAAAAGTGCAAACAGATTAGACACAAAATTGAGAACACAAGCATGAAAACGGAAGAAATAAAGAAACCATATGGACAAGCCTTACTCTGCTGCCATTAAACTCCATTACTCCTTGATAAAACTGAAGAAATTAATGGTCTGAGCAATTAGGGTGTCTGAGCAATGAATGCGCCTGCACATCGAAAACGCCACCCAAATGTAAAATACGATACTACCCTCTTATCTGTAAGATTTACTATTGATGTTGGCGTAATTACGAGAATGCCACCGCTTTTTGACTAGTCAACAATACTGGGTTGGCAACATCCACACCGTCTATTTAATTGATCTAACTGATTGAATTTATTCTTATTTCTTTCACTACATGCCATTCTC